TATTCTTGTATAGCGTGACTGTTGCTAAATCGTGATACTGACATCCACCAGGTAGAGTATTTTAAGTAATCAGGATACAAATAGCTACAACAGAGTCCAAACATATAGACAGACTACAACTAAATAAAATACAAGTTCCTCACACTGTCAGCACAAGAGTTGGGGATGAGGAGGCTGCAGTGTCACAGTGTGGCTCTGGATTTCCTGACATTCTTGTCAAAAATGTCAACTTCTTTCTTCAGCCTGGCATAAATTATTTCTCAAAATGTGCAGAGTCTACAGTTTACTCCAGTTCCTACCTAAGTAAAGTTTCAATACTAAGACTGTTATAAACAAACTGTCAATCAATATGCTGAACAGTAATATAGAGCATGAACTATAAAGATGTTTGTGTACCACTCTAAAAAAATCCCAATTAAGACTAGTATAGAGTATGGAACACTTTTTGTATTTATTTGGGACTAATTTGGGACATGTAATGTTTTTGTGTTGTATCCTGTAGTAATATCAAATGTCTAAATTGTAACAGAGGCAGATGTGTTTAAAAACGTTGCCACGGATGCTAGAAATTCATACAATTTAATGAGAGTGCGATATAATCTGCTGGATAAAAGAATCCTCCATGCATGTCATTTTTTATTACAGGAAAACACCAAAGTTCTCTTCATGTGTTTGTTTTCTTTATGCCGCTGCAGATCTTATTGTCAAACTGGCAAAGGACAAGTTTGGAGCCATTCAGACGGAATATCAAAAGGTAACTGAGTGTGTGCTTGTTTGTGTGGTGAAATGATTGCTTTTCTGTGCCTTTCATCCTCCTTGCTGCATGTTTTTACTGATTGGAAACAGCAACTCATGAAATACATTACATTAGAAATGTAGCTCTGAGAAACGCAGTAGTCTGTGACTTCTCTAAAACAAGGTGTCAATAGCTTTCATTAGCCAAGGCAATGCCATCTTTTTACCGGCATTCCAGGGGGAAAAAATGGTTATTGCTTCTGGCACAACCTATAAATTTAGAGAGATAAATCATTTGAGCTCATCGGAGCAAACAGGTTTGACAACCAAAGGCTTTTTTAGGCCTGAGAGCTAAATAAAGAGTGCAATTTGCAGTCTTATTTGTGTGCTATGTATGGAAATGCATGACTTTAATTTCTCTTTTTGTTGTTCTCTTTCATCACATGTGTTCACTTTGTGGCTTTGCTCTTTTTTTTGATGCTGCATTGCCTTTGTCTTCTGCATGCCCTCTTCATCTGATCTGGCCTCCTTCAGCCAGAGAACATAGTGCTGACCCTTCAGGTAAAGTCTGCATACTGGACTTAAAGTCTAACCGATCCCCCCCTTCCCATAATTCTCCACTATGAAAGTCATCAAGGCTGCACAATCAAAGCTGAGATATTAATCTTGTATATTTTGTCTATTTTGTCATATTGATAATTGGAATATACAGGATTAGTTTTGCAGCCTTGTAACTTTCTCTCAGCCATCCCATCAACCTCACAGCCACCTTGGAACCTTCCCTTTAGCTTGACCTAAACCGTAGCCCCTCTTTCTTTTTGAAGCACATCCTCGTGCAGAGTTTTGTTTTTTCACTTTTATGGAAGTGACAGAGATGACTGGATAGAGAAACATAGAAAAAATGTTTTATACCACTAAGTGTCAGAGAATTCTACTTTGAATTTCATCTAGTTTGAACTTCGTGTTACAGGGGTTATGGTAAAATATTGCCTATAGTTCTCCACTGGCTCCTGAGGACCTACTGTGAGGCTAATATGTAGCACAAAACGGGACACTTACTGCCATATCAATCCAAGCATCGTCACTCAAATTTGACTTTTTTGAACAGCAAAGTAGTCTCCTCCTTTAGTTTTTATTATTATAATGATTAACAAGGATATTATACTTATGTTCATTATATCAGTGCATAAACAGTGTTCAGTGCTCATGGTGAATATCTCTGTATTCACTAGTCAGCATCTCAGCTGTATTTACTTTGACATCCTCTTAAAAACACAGCATGTAAAAGCCACATGTAACACAACAGATACATTATGTTTGGGATCCTGATGGTGGCAGAACTCTGGACCTGGACTTGTAGTGTGCATTAAGTGCAGCATTTCCCCTGGTTTAAAAATCTTTTCTATATCAGCATAAACAGGCCGGACTACCTCACAGGTCAACAAACTGTAACAGTGATTTTTACTGTGATTCTACAGCAGAGCTTTTAAATGGTTTGAATTTGTGCTTGTAGCCTGCCTGTAAAAGGCGGTGATTTCAAACTTTTATTGGAAGAGCAAAGCAGAATAGACTCTGTCCCAGCATGATATTATCCAGTGTCATGCCTGCTACCTTGAACATTTTGTAAAATAAATTCTTCCTCATATTGGGGAAATTGCTTATCACATCAGGCCCAATGCATTGCAGTTTTTGTTTTGTTTTTTAATATTTTTTTTAAGAACAGCCTTTCATAGCCCTCATAGACAAATGCAAAGCAAATCAATCATCAGGCTTTAAAAGACTATTTAATGCAAAATCACAGCTGGCAGTGTGTACGGTAGTCTTAGTTTTAACCAAAGTTTGCTTACGGTGGATTTAAATTGTCCAACCGTGTGTTTGAGAGTGTGTGTATTTACATGTTTTCCTGCAAGTATATGATGTTAAAGAGTACTTATACATAAATGTATGTTCATGACTTTATAGGGTATTTTCTGTGTTAGTGGGTGCTATACACCTACTTAAAAATCAATTTGACAAAATTCTTCAAATCGTACACTTTTACCTCTTCATTCAACCGTGCTACAGTTATTCATTTTATCTCAGTTCTCCTCTATTACACAAAGCTTTCTTAAAATAGGCTGCTCTTCTTAAACTTTGTATTGATTTGAATAGGTGAGTGGGGCTTCATATGGCCTCACATGGCCATTTTAGATCTATCCACTCTAATAGTAAACATACAGAATCCCAGAAAAACAGAGCAGAGAAGTAGGCTGAGCTCTTATTGGGCATTAAGTTAACTGTTAATGAATCAAGGAAACTGCTTCTTGCTTGAGGATGCTTCAGCATGCCTCATGGCTGCTGCTGGCATTAAATCTGTTTCATGTTAAAGAAATTCACATCTTCACTCTTCAGACATGCTGCCAACCCATCATCCAGTTTGTTCTTATTGGAAGGTCACCTTCTTCTTTTGGGCACTTGCCAAGACAAAGCTATAGTCCCAAAATAGTAAGAGCTGGAGGCCCTTTAAGAGTGGCGGTGGAAAAAAAACGGCACATTTTTGACCTTTTTTTTTTTTTTTTTTTGCTGAAGATTCACCCAATAACAAGCAGAGCCCAGAAGGAGAATGACAATGCAAGCACTACAGTTTGCACAGTGTCCTCAACAACTGTGCTGACATTGGTGCCTTTAGATGATACACATACACATATGTGCACACACCCACGCAGACACACAGTCTTTCCTTTAGTTTTTGCCTCACAGCATTTTCAGAATCTCTGATTTCCCTTTTTCTCTTTGGACTCTGCAGTCCATATTTTTAAGGTCATAAAGAAAGTGATTAAGAGACTTTTTTGATGTCTTAGAAATTAATGTAGTCAAACAGCTGGAGCCTTCACTCCTCCAAACATTAGCGACAGGACTGTGGGTTATTATCTTTACTCGAGTTTTCCATGTGTGCGTAAAGATTTAAAAATGAACCAGAAGACTGTTCCTCTCAGTCTTACTCAGAATCTATTTCTACCCTACCTTTTAGCCAAAAGCCAATGAAGGAGTCCCTGAAGGAGGCAGGTCACTGACTTGTGAGGGCGATTAAGATTAGTACAAATCAGCTGGGAGAGCAGTTCCTCTATTCAAAGCAGTGATAGCAGTGCTGCTTTGATCCTTTCATAACGAGAAGCTATTGAACATCATTGTGACAAGTTACATATGGTGTGGGAATTACCAATCCCCTATTTAATTTTGACAATTTCCAGAGCCTATGCTGCGTGCAGTTTAGGTAGGGGCAGATTAAGTAGGAGCACTGTGGCACATGACAAGAAGAGCAAGTGAGAAGCTGCCAACAGCAGCATTTTAACTCTCTCAGTATATCAGAAAGAATTTGCTAAAGAAGCTTGTCATATTGAATATTGAAAGTTAAGGACTATTTAGGCCGTCATTGACAAATGATGTGCAGATTTCATAGGTGATGTTGAAAGGGTTCTAATTCCAGTAAATACAGTAATAGAAAGCACCGTCTCCAGGCTTGCCCTTGTGCTGTGGAGGTGCACATCTACAGCGAATGCAAAATCTCCTCCACTGTGTCACAACAGGGATCCTTTAAAATGCATTTCATTTTAAAGTTGCAGGAACTGACTCTGGAAAATACTGAGTGGTGAAGGAGAATGTGCCTTCTCATAGTTTTGACAGTCTGACCCTAGGGGATGAATTCACCACATATAGACCCATAAATATATTAAAAATATATTAAAAAAATATCTGCATGCTCCTGCTTGCACTCTTGATATGATGCTACTGATGAGAGTGCTTTGTTGTGCTTGGAGGCCACAGGCTTTGCCACAGAGCTCAAGTTTGACCTGAAATTTGTGCACCTGCAAGGGGTCAGAGCAGGACTTCCTAGGAGCAATTCAAATGTAGCAGGAGCACCACAAACAGAGCAACGCAGAGACAAACAAATTTAAACCAGGTCTGTTTTTTGTTTCTTTTAGGTGCAGAACTTAAAACTTCTTGTTGTGTTGTCTTATTCTAAGAAGTTAATGAAGTAAATATAAGATGAGTAATTTAGTCTGATAAAGATGGACACATTTGTTAGAATCTTCCTGAAGTTTGGATGTAAGGTTGTTTTATGAAACTGAAGAAGTGACTTGGATGAGTGACAAATCGTTTCTCCCACTGAAAACACTACGTCCAGATGAACAGAATTAACCTTTTGGGATTTACTTACCTGACTGATTGAGCATGCATCAAGACATTACATTTGTCAGTTTTAGCTAGGCGGAGGAAATGGTTATATTTTCTGATTACCGGCTACAAATTTTCACAGTAAAATTTCAGTTTCAGCCACCTAAGTTTAATTATTTTTGTTTCTTTGTTTTAGAACTTCACCTCACCATTACTTACTAAAATCCTCTCCTGAATCCTGGAAGTTAGAAGAATCATCCACTGCCAACAAATGATTTCGCTTGCTTCATGGTTTGACTCCCTAAACTTAAATAAATTATAATGGTCTTAGGCATATACCTTATTTTCAATGAATGCAGAGCTCCACTGAAACAGGTATAATGATCTCACTCTGGGGCCTGATTTTTCTTGAAAGAAGAAAGATTAGGAAGTCGTTCCCTTTAGTATGTTAACTGCGTTGCAATCCATTCCTATTGAAGCAGGTTTTTCATCAGAAATGCTGTCTTTTTGCTTCGTTATAGTGGGAAGAACTGTACCACAGGGCTACTGTACAGGGGAAGCTCCTTTGAGTATTTTCCCATCATGCTTCATCTGTTACTATCCTGCCAGTGCATTTTGCTGTTGGGTTAAAATGTTTGCAAAAACAATGTCCAACAATTGCTTTCTGCAACAGTCTCAACACATTTTCCCCTTTCACTTTCAGTTTGCACTATAGTGTGCAGGGACAAAAACCTTCATCCTACTCATTTTTTGTTTTAGTCTTGGCATTTGTTTTGTGTAAAAATGCAGTCAGGAAGTTGAATTATTGAATTAGCTTGCTGTATTTAACAAAGAGAGGATTCTCCTGCAGTGAGTAGTGTTACGCAATGTCTTTGTTCATCTGCAAATCCTGTTTGGACAACTAGAGAGAACTCGCAGCGGTGGGATTCTACCAGATATTTTTAGATTTGTTCATCATTTTATCCTTGTATTCCTTGTGTGCATCCTTCCGTCTTTTTGTGTTTTCTGCTATTAATTTATCCCTTTCTCCTCATTTTCTCCCTCACTCCTAAACATTCACCCCCTCCTTCTTCTACCAAACCAATCCTCATCTCTTCATTTACTGACTCACCTCTCTTTGTTGTTATTATTCATAAATAATTTGTCCATCTTTCTGCATCTCATTTTCTTTTTCCCTTTCACTCCTCTCCCCCGACCCCAGGCCATCTACTACGAGATAGGCTTCCTAGTTTGTGCAGCAGTGGGCCTGCTCTTTACCATTCTGATGCCAATAGCCGGGCTCTTCTTCTGCATGTGCCGCTGCTGTGACAACTGTGGTGGTGAGATGCACCAACGCCAGAGGAAGAATGCAGACTGCCGGCGTGGCCTCCTGGGAACGCTGCTCTTCTCCACCTCACTGGTCATCACGTGAGTATGACACATGCACAAATGACACGCATAAGTGAAATATTCAGAAATCGGTTTGCAAGCAGACGTGCACATTCTGCATGCAGACATGCATGTATGCATACACTGGGGTTATAAACAAGATGCATGTCTGTCTTTTACGGCAATACTCTCATGCACATGTGTACACATGTTAGTATCACACACACACACACACACACACACACACACACACACACAGTCATCAGTTTTCCTCCTCCCCCATGCTGTTTGCTATATATAGTTGAGTCCTACTGTAGATTGCATGTGGCAGCACCCTTCATTCTTTTATTCATTCAAAGCTCTGGTCACTATAACCTTCTGGGGATCCAGACTGAAAGCTTTCATTTACTCTTGTGGCAATGTCTCAGTGCACATCTAAAATACTACAAATCGAAGATAAAGCCGCAATATGCTTTGGAATTTGACCGCAATAATTCTGGTAAACACTTCTGACCTTTTGACAATACACACAATTTCATCTAGACCTGTACTCCTTGGTATTCATTGTAATGAATATAATACCGTTAAACTTTTTTCTGCACAGTCGTCATTGTTTGTCTTTTATATGCACATTTTAAGCAGTGGCTTTCTCGAATAGGACTGCGGTGAGTTTAAAAGCAGACTTAATTTTCAAGATTTCAGTTCAGAAAATATATTTTGTTTTCCTTTCCCCATTGTTCACTTGCTTTGACCAGATCAATTTAAAAAACAAAAACGAAAAAAACCATGCCTTTTTGCCCACAGATTCTGCATATTCACACACAGAAACACATCTGTTTCTCTAAAGTCTGACTCTTTTTGCTGTGGTGTGATAGAAAAGTTTTATATAAGAAGTGTATAGAAAAGGTAGCTATAGGCTAAAGTCAAACTCTTGGTAAACATGAGTTAGTTTGCTGCTTTAAAAGTGTGCCAAGTTTGTCTTGATGCATTCCCAATCATCCAGGAGATGTGCCAAGTTTGATAATGTTAGATTGGATTTGTTAGCTCAGCTTTAACGAATGCAAGTGATAAAACTTTAAGATGTTATTTAATGAGTTCTTTCACTTTTTCGAAGTTTAAAGTGTTAGTTTTTCATTTGGAATGAGCTGTTCTCTTTAGCGGCACTTTCCCTTTTTTCCCCGTAACCAAACTGACCAATCGGCCTCAGATATACTGTCTAGCCATTTCTTTGACAGTCTCATTAGCTTCAACTGCAACGTGACGTGCAAATCTCTGGAAATGGAACTGCACATTACTGCAATGCTGATTGCAACTGGGATTGTTCTGCTTGTTATGCCACATAAGCATGCATGTCAGTTTAAACACATGCTTTTACAAATAGATGATAGGATGTGAGTGTATCTGGCTGCTTTATCGTGCTAATACTAATCTGGCAGCCAGTAATCTGCCAGTGAAGCTATCTGCTGTTGTTTCCCAGGTTTTTTTTTGGGGTTTTTTTTTGTTACTTACACCCGAAGTACATGCAGGACAGTAACCTCGTTGTAAGCTAGCATTTTCTATGTGTATTAAGAGCATAATTCTGACATGAAAATCATGTTAGATAAAGTGGGACATTCAATTAAGTCTATAAGAATTTCAATATACATAGTACCCTGTTTTTCAGAGGCTAAAAAAAATAACTAGACAAGCTAGTATAACTTTAAATGTGGGGATTGTTTTTAATATTTGGATGAAAATTATTTTCAGTCAGTGACTGATGGACATCACCAATCACTACTGATTATAATGTAACCAGGCACATATTTGGCAAAAATATAGATTTCCATCCATCCATCCATCCATCCATCCATCCATCCATCCATCCATCCATCCATCCATCCATCCATCCATCCATCCATCCATCCATCCAT